TTAAACGTTGCCTCTGTCGCGCATACCGCCCTCCTCAAGTCATGTAACGTTAAAGAGATAAGATTTGTAAATCTTAATGAATTCAAAACAACCTGCATTACAATGCACATATACACATTATGTAAATAAAATCCTTATAAGAGGATTTTCGGTGAAAGGAAAAAAAATCTTTTCACTTTTATCCTGAAAACCCTTTTATATTTTTAAACCTCGTTTCAGACAGCAAGAACGCTTAATTTGTTTATAGGAAAGACGTACATGGCCAGAAGGGATTTTTTTTTCCTATAGGCTACTAGTAAATTTAAAGAGTGGGTTACAACCCCGTAACCCCTTCAAAACTCGCCATTATAGATAGGCATATACGAATCTAGCATGGTACTTGATTCTAACACAACGTGTTACAATACTTTTTTTGTACATTTCTATATTTTTTGCACACGCAACTTCAAATGTGCTAATATTGCCAATCATAATCAGGAAAAAGTTATATAAATTAAGCTGAGAAGCTTTTTTCATATTGCAACATTCTGTTTTTTCTATTACTTTATTCATAGAAAATCAAAGATATTTACGAGATCGAATTTTCTTATCAATCTTCCATTTTTTTCACGCAAACTTATTTGGGTAGGGTTAACCTTTCTTATAACTTCTAAAGAAAAAAGGAAGACTATATTTTCATATGTTGCACATTATTTTCCCAGAGTAAAATCAAAGAGAATTACAATTATGGAAGCTATACTTTTTCTTTTATTTATATGTGTCTCTTTCTTACACCGGCTAAGAAAATGATCTTGATTTTTTTTTAAATAATTACAACTGTGGAAACTTATTTTATTAAAGGTAATAAAACAAATCAAAGAATGTACGACCAAGTTTTCTTGCTCTAACAGTGATAGACCATCATTATAGCCTTGTTAGACTTTCCTTTAATGCGGATAAAATATCTTGTATTATTAATGGAAAGTATAGTATAGCCTTTTAATTTTGTCATTTAAACTTTAAAGCTTTTAGAAATGAACACTTTATATCAAAAGGCTGCGTGATTTAACCCCTGTGTATTTGCCTAACAAGAATTTTCCTACCAAAACCATACAGTTTTTTTTTCTTGCATCAAAAAATGACAGAGGGTCATTATTCTACAGGGTCATTTTTTTTCTACAATCCACATGGAGAAAAATGACCCTAAGGCCATAATTTCTACAAAAAAGTGGGTCATTTTTCTACGTAGAAAATTGACCAGGGGGACAAATTTCTACGTAGACAAATGATCCCCGGTCAATATTATACGGGGGTTACTTTTCGTCGTTGCACTGGACCTTCCACTTCCGCTCTAGATCTTTCTGGTGCTATCTAGTGAAAAGCAATGATAAAATGAATTTATTATCCTCGATTAACTTGTGTAGTAGTAAATCGTAAAGAATTATATTTTCTTTTTCAAAAAAGCTGTTGTCATAAAAATTAAAATACAATGTTCAGAAATTCATAAAACTATCAAATTAAATGATTTTTTAAAAAAAAAAGAGGAAATTTAGAAGAATTCAGCATTTTTATAATTTCAAGCCACCTACTAATCTGATAATTTTATGAAGAATTTTTCCATCAGTCAGGATAGGTGTGGTTTCTGAAAATGCATATTACAGTGAACTTGATTGATTGAAGGAATAAAGAATAAGTAAATGAAATAAATATAACGAGGATGGCGCGGCTTTCCCCCACGTCATCTCCACACTGCGTATCCTCAATGAAACACAACAAACTAAGGGGTCGAATTTTTTATTCTAAAGGGGGGGGGGCTGGCAATTTTTTTTGAGTTAGATTATTATTCATTTCCATACCAGGAAATCTACCAACCTCCACCTCTATTTCGTTTGTGGGGGGGGGGGGGGTGTTAGTAATAGTACCACGCAAGGACAGATTATTTATTTTCTTGCCAGTTGAGAACAGATTATTTATTTTCAACATTTTCGAGGACAGATTATTTATGTCCAAAATCTGCCACCCTCCCCCTTTAGAATCAAATGGTCATCCCCTTATGGGCTTAAACGGTAATCGGAGTTGCAAGGTGCGTTTAAGTCTGTATGTGAAAATATTGGAATAAGATGGGGCTACTTTGGTTCTCATGTCAGTGCCCTTACATGTTATGTTCTCCACTAAACAATTATAATGAATTATAATGAAAACATTTCAATAAGTCTCAGATTTCGCAACAGTCCTCAACCACCTCATCGTTTGGAATGTTAGTTTAAAGAAATGTGGCGTCCATAGTCACGAAGAAGGTATGGTCTGGTGGGTGTCTTGTAGTCTGTGGTGTCATTGTAATATGACAGCAAGTCCTCTACATATATGCTAACGAAGACGTAAATCAACTAAATCAGAGAATTTTTCCGTGAGTTGTTCAATATTGCACTATATTTAGGGCGACCTGGCATGCCTTCTTTATACATCTTAGGAAACAAGTATTGTTGTCCTAATGTACAATCAAAAGATTCGAGTGCTTTGTAGACATTGTCACCAATCTCATTAAATCAATGCAAGCATTTTCGTGTGTGAGGGTGTGTGTGTGTGTGTGTGAGGGTGTGTGTGTGTGTGTAAACTTGACAATAGTCAGAGTCCAGTTCTAGAAAAATTCGTCTGAGGTTTTCGTCTCGTCTTCTAGCACTATTACTCTTTTTACTTACTCTTGTTGATAGTTATTTCATACCGGTTTTTTTTACGTTATCCAATATGATCGCTTCCACCATAATTTAAACGATATCAAATATATTTTGTCTGGTTTTCAAAGAAAATATGATTTAAATATTTTAGAGTTTCACATTTTGCCAGATTGAGACAAACAGTATGACACGATTTTCTAAAGTCAACGGAAATCAGCCATTGCAGTCAAGCGAGAGATTTGCGGAACTTATCCGGATGTGACGTATTTAAAATATAAATTCCGAACGTGTACTACATGTTGTTGACGGCGAGCAATGGAAAAATCACGAAACCACGGCCATTTTGGTGATGTGAAGTCCCCGTAGACTTTGAATTTGCTGCCTTGTCAATATACAGTTATCAAAGGAGAAAGTTTGGGGAAAATGATCTATTGTGGAACTTAGTTTTAAATTTAAACTTATATACAATGCATAACTAGATAGTTATAGGAAACTTTAAATCAAGATTTCAACTTTTGATGTAACCTTAGTACAGCGTGGACAACTCATTTTGATCGTCTTCAAACTACACTCACTGGGCATAGAATGCAAATTTACGGTACTTTTAAATGTGACAAATCCGATAGGGTTTTTTTAGATAGTGTACAGCAGGAAATTAACTGGCGGAGTTAATATTCGCTATATTCGTGGGAATAAAAATTCCGCGAATTCAACAAACAGTTAATAAATCTTTTAAAAAAGATAAGGATAAATTGAAATATTACTGTTATCTGTAGTAAGATTCGATAACGCTATGTTTCCGAGCAAGTATAAATGCATTAATTAACACTATAGCGATGTAGACTTTCTTTCTAATAACGCTGGTGTACGGAACAATCACTAACACGTAGTTGTTGTTTTTTTAAGCTTAATTGATAATAAAGTTCTATGACTAACATTTAATTCTGCCACTCAGTGCAGGCGCGATGTAATTTAAAATTAACTATAAGACATGCATTGTTTCATTTTATCGTTTGTGTATCAATCAGTGTTATTACCTTTAGTCGAGGCAATTTTATGTGTGCATTAACAGTGCTTTGCTTTTTTATATCAATGTTAATAGATTTGAAAACGACTTAAAATCACTTGAATAAATCAAATGAGCATAGAATCATACGTATTTCAAACATACTTATTAAAAAACAAACAAAAACAAAAAAAAAGGGAAAGAAAGAAAAAATATCTGAATGCGTAACATGGTAAATCGCACATTTTGACTTCAAAGCGGCGTTCCTTATGCGGATCGGGTTCAGAATAGAAAAAAAAATACGCAAAGAAAATACTTGCAGAGCTCAAAAAAGTTTTTGTATAATTTTTCCTTTCCGCGAATTCAAACGAACGCGATTTGCTACAAATTAAAAAAATCGCAATCTTTTCCGACCGCGATTTTAACCTGCTGTACAGTAATTGAATCCAATGGACCCTTTACTATTCTTTTCCTTTTTCATGTGAAGAATGACTATCAGAACCTTTAAAAATTCTGGAATCATTTTCCAGTTCCCCCCTCCCCCAAATAATGCTGTACATTTAAGTTTTTGCATATCAACCAACAGATTCTTTTGAAAAGAGATTAAGAGAGAGGTTTCAAACACATGACACGCCCGTAGCAACGGTTTCAAAAGTGGGGGGCTTCCCAAAATTATCTGACAAGCAAAATGAAAAAAAAAATTTAAAAAAAGGTAATTTACTATCCGAATACTGAAAATTGCTAGTGCTCGACCTTAAAACATCAAAAAGTGGGGGGGGGGGGGGGCAGCATCTAAAGGAAAATTTACTATAGCAAAATAGAGTGTACTCAGAAAAAAGTTGGAGGCGGGGCGGGCCTCCCTCCCCCCCCCCCCCCCCCCCCCCCAGCGCGTTCTACGGGCCTACTTGATTGTTTCAAGAAAATAATATTTAAAAGATTAAATAAGATAAACTATTTTGAAATAAGATTCTGTAAACCGAGTAAAATATATTCATGTCTTAGTGCCCAGAGTGCATATACATGTATATTCGAGGAACTTCATTCTGATTTTTTAGTGACAACAAACGTAATCTAAGTATATAAAACCATTAAAGGAAAAAATAACCAAATGCCAAATATAATCTCCCCGAGCTTGAATTTAAATTGAATTTAAATCATGATTGTAAAATATATGCAACAAACAAAATGAGGGTAAAACATCAGCCTTAAAAGATTTTAATTTGATCACGTAAGCATGACATATTCTCACCGAAATATCCCCTGGCTACATTTTATCAAACAGATAAATCTGCAACAGGCATCTGGAGGTGTGTTCTGCGCAGCGATTTTGTATAAAACATCCTTGAAAATAAAAATAATTTAAAACAATCGGAAAGAACAATGGGTGTTTGGATATACATCACTACCTGTCTACTTTTTGCAGGTACATTTTTTTCTTATTCTTAAAAAGTGATGTCGAGTATCATGAGAGAGAGAGAGAGAGAGAGAGAGAATACTTATTTTCTATAACCCGGTACATGATTATGCCTTAACTATATCGAATCGCTCGCGCTTTTGTGTTTCATTTGCTCATTTCCAAATCAGCATAACCTCCAATTTCATTCAAATAAAATGTCCTTTTCAGAGGTTTGCATTTGTCTTGAAAATCCAAATCTACTACAACAACTCATTGAAAAATTAGACAAGTTGGATGACGTCCGTAATAATCGACATAAAGAAGAGACCGTAATTCATGAGGATGAACCTCCAAAATCCAGTCTGCAAAAACTGGGCCAAAAACTAGGGTAAGAGAGAGAGGGAGAGAGAGAGAGAGAGAGAGAAGTTTCATCTCTAATTACTAAAAAATATGGTCTTTATAAATAGAGTAGGTCGTGGTTCTAAATTTAAATTTTTTTTACCATCGAATATTTAAAAAAAACGCATGAATAGCAATGTGTATAGTTGGAATGAATTAAGTATAATTAATAAGAATTTTTTTTATTTTTGAATACAAACCGCTATATAAAACGCTTTTTTCTTTCAAAGAGACGGATATGAAAACGCTTTAAGGATACTCCAGAAGTTGATAGTTCACGAGAAACGTGATCACGTAATACCAGAGGTTGATCTGAGCCATTTCACGTGTACTCAGGAATATTAGTGAGTAGAAAGTTTCCAAATGTTATCCCACTTTTTACGCACTAAAATCGTTTTAACTTTATTAATTTTAATTCAATTAATCTCTGATATCTCTGATATCAGAATATGTCTGTATACACGTACTTCAAAATGATTTCAAGGTTCATTGATCGTCTGATAAGAGAGGCAACTCTTACTGGGTTGAATGATTATAATGTCAAGTAACGAGGGTTGTCCCTCGTATACGATAATTTCTGAAAATTTTTATCGGAAGATATAAGATATGCTTGAATTGTTTGCATTTCATTTATTATTTAGATTTCTTCTGGAAAATGTTAATATAATTATTAAAGCAAATTTTTACGGGAATGAAAGAGGGATGATGAACCTAAAGTTCGCCGTATTAGCGTGTAAGGGGTTCAGGATCATAGATGTAATTCTCTTATTGGAAGAATCATGCTGACATTTTCTTTCAGAACTGTTTTTACTAAATTGTTCTTTTTAGTGGTTTGAGGAAACTTGTCGACAACTTAGCCAAAAAGTATTGTGTTGTAAAAGATGGTCATGTTCACGATGCATTGGATGGATTCTAGTAAAAAGACGTTCGTGTAAAATTCCACTAAATTCTAAGGGAAAAAAATGACAATAGATCGGTAAAAAAGATCAACAAGGTGTGATTAATTTAAATAATGAATCGATAATATTAACAATCTTTGTATACATTTTTGTGTCTCTTTAAAATTTTGAGATTAAGCTAAGGTTTGCTTTGTATTCACTGTGTACCGTTCATGCACCTTACCAATATTTTTACCTATTGATATATATTTATTTTGTAATTAAATACGTTTGTATTTAGCAATAAATGAATTGATAACAACACTCTTGCAACTGTAATAGAATCAAGTCACTATTTGGTAAATTTCATGCAATTATATTTCTTCCCGTCAAAACATTCCGAGTAAACAGTGTGAATGTGATGAAATTGATATTATCCAGGGAAAGAGGGAGACCTCGGACATTATGGTACCGAAAAAAGTCAACTCCGTATCTATCTTGTGACAAATTAGTTAAGATATCTTTTTTTCAAATTCTCTCATCTACATTTTTTAATATAAACAAACATGAACAAATTCATTTAATACATTTTTATTTCAACAAAAACAATAATCAACAATTAAAAATCTAACATAATGGATACAACTCAAACAAAAATAATGAATGCGAATCAAACATAAATAATGGATGTGTATCAATGAATTTGATGTCTGCGCAATTCTCAGAAGTCTTGAATAAAATAACTTATACCAGAACGATATTGTGCATGCATAAGGAATTAAATTAATAAAATATTTATAAAGAGAAAAACATCAAGTGTAGACTGTTTAATCCTGGTGATTAATAATAAGAGACGGCCAGAGGTGGGCGTGACGATAAAAGTCGTCGAGGCTGGAAGTCTATATCGGTGGGTGTTAATCTGTTAGAATTGGGCAGGTCCTTGTACTCACGAGGGCCATGTACACGTCTGTCAATCAATAAAATAACCAATAAAAAGAACAAAAATTACAAAGTACTTTTATGATACTGTAGTTATATAGAGTATTTGTCTATTCTATTTTAAATTAGAAAAAAGAAATCGAAAAACTCACAACGGCGATGACCTCCTCGATGGTTCGTATCTGTCTAATGAACCGTGACCACTGTCTACAAAAAATATACAGATGTTCAGTAAATCAACAATTTAAAATATATTGATAGGATATACAGAATTCATTGTCATGATGTTGATAGAGTGCGATTTCAATATTGGATATTCAAATAAGCCGATAAATTCTATAATTTATATACTTTTGAACTGTTTTGTTTTACATAAATACAATTGCAAATTCTCATAACCCAAAAGCTTCACTGCGTGTAACCTATTTTATCATAAAATTGATTCCTTAAACTCAGTCTGAATACGTCTCATCTTTACTTGGTCGCAAGGTCAACCAGTGGTAAAAATTCCTAAAATTTTGAGCTATCATACTGGCGATGAAACAAAGCTGACATTAAATAACTTTCTGACACAAATGTATAAGAATGTTCGATTTGAATTCTTGTCATTGATCACATCGATATATTCAGTTTTACATATTTCCACCTCCGCCAATCGTATGAGGCGCTTATTTAGAATATACCGGTATCATGTTGAACATAGAGTTCGAATTTGGAAAAACGGGAGTGGGGGTTCTGTAGAATGTGCATTTTTCTTTGACCGGGGGATCTTCAGTACATATGTTGAACATAGAGTTCGAATTCGGAAAAACGGGAGTGGGGGTTCTGTAGAATGTGCATTTTTCTTTGACCGGGGGATCTTCAGTACAAGTAATAGAACCTACACAATGTCTTCAGTGAATTAAAAACTGGAAAAATTCATTGTCATGTTGAATTTATCCAAAAAAGTGTTTATCTCATCGATGATTGTTTGCATGTACATTGTTGCACATATGGTCACTAAGTCACTGCATATAGGATAACTAACCTTAAAGCCATCAATCTCATTTTCCTAAAATCTTTAAATGAACTTTTTTATTTGAGTGGAATATTCATAATGAGGACTGTTGTATACAAAGAAATGGAATCATTATTAGATTTTTCATTTTTATTTAAAATCAATATTGAACAACATTGAAGTTAACAACTAAAGAAACAATAACATCCAGTAGTATCACAAGTTTGAGCAATATTCTGTTGATTTTGTCATCAATTCTTCACATGTAGAGACTTGACTCTTTGAAATTTTCATCTGCAAAAGATAAGAAGTTGAAAGTCAGCAAACTCATAAAGATGAGAAAAAAAATGTCTACTTCTAGAGAAGACAGGTTTGCTAGGACGTTCAACACCTTATCCTTGCAGATTTAAAGACAAAAAGACATGTCTGAAAATAGTTCAACTACAACAAGGTCCGTTTAGCATTGACGCCCTTACTATAGATACTTTGTTAGAAATGAACTTCTACATTATTAAATATTCGAACTTATATATATTTACCTTCCCTCCAGTAATCAAACTCATCTCTCTTTGGTCGTTTTGGTCTAAATAAAAAAAAAAAATAGATTTATGTTATTGAAAATAAATTTTCATAAATCAAAACAAAAGGATGTAATGTTTTACTATATTTACACATTGTAACAAATTTGTCAGGCAGCTACAACAAAGCAGAAATTCGGAGTGCATGAACTCACTTTTCTGGGGTCACCAGTCTTCTTTGAGCCCTGCTAAATGAAAAGAAAAAATCTCAATCTTTCTGAATTTACAGATATTTTTTCATTACGTTCTTCTTCATTACTCCAACATCTCTCATTCATAATATCGCGCCATTTCTTCTTAATTTACATACCGGGGTCTTTCGTAACCTCTGCAGCACTCCATAAAGTCACACGGCTCTGGACCACAGCACATTCCAGTGTAACAGCATCGTAAGAGATAATACAACAATGCCGCCAGCAAAACAGCACCTACCAAGTAATAAATATAAAAGTATATCAAAGAAAAGTTGCATCTCCTTTGAAAATAAAACATCTGAACTCTTTATCAATTAGGGTATATGTTCTTCATTTAAATATGTAAATATTTTTAATTTTTCACCTTTGATAAAATTCCTTTAAACTATTCTGTTAGAAAATATGCATATCAACAAAACCCAATACCTAAAACCATTGCTATGGAGAAAGCTGCCACCGCGCCGCTGTCGTCCCAGAAGTTGTAGGTAGATGGCGCTGCAGTAGTAGTAGTGGTGGTTGTCGTGGTTTCCCTGTAGATAATGTCCACATACGTAGTTCCGGTCAGAGCAGGCGAACCTTTGTCTACCGCTGTTATTGTAAATCTTGAAATTGTTCCATAAGCCAAGCTTCCGGAGGGAGAAGACAGTAAATAAACGCCTGTAAGGTTGTGCTTACATGTATATGAAAGGTAAGCCTTTTCAGAAATTAAAACTTAACAACAATAAAAATATATTATATATTGTTACTTCTTGTATGAAAATAAGCTACAGGGTTCTTGAATATCTTCTAATTATCTATTTCTTTTACTTAAAACCATTTTCAGTTTCATTCTATTAAATAATTGTCTTTTGAAATGATGACTGACCACAATCGGCGCCTATGGAATAGTGTGTTGTGGCAGACGAAGCTGAAGAGCTTCCAGAACAAGAAAATTCTCCATTGACGCCGGTGTCTGGGTCTGTCGGCGCTATGGTGCCCATTAAGGAACCAGCCGTATCATACTGGTCCACTGTTATGGTGTAAGTCGACTGAGCAAACGATGGAGCGTTGTCATTTACGTCCTGAAAACACAGGAAAAAGAAATATTTCACATAAAAAAAACTAATCATTGTCAAATTACCTAAGGATATTTCCTGATTTTTTAAACGTTTATAGGGAAATAAAACTAAGAAAATACATTTGCAACTTTAAGTCTAACAGAAATCGTCCCTTTTAAAATGTCTCTAACCTGTATTGATGAACATTTTACCTACTTTGATGGTCACTTTGGAAGTGACTTACCAGGATGGTTAAATTGAATTTGACACTGACTTACCGTGATGGTGATTTCACTTTGGAGGTTACTTACTCTGATGGTTATTTCTGCTTTGGCGATGACTTAACCTGATATTGATCTCCACTTTGGAGGTAACTTACCGTAATGGCGATCTCCACTTTGCAGGTGACTTACCATAAAGGTGACTTCTACTTTGGTGATGACTTACCGTGATGGTGATCTCTACTTTGGTGATGACTTACCGTGACGGCAATCTCCACTTTACAGGTGACTTACCGTAAAGGTGTCTTCTACTTTGGAGGTGACTTACCGTGATGTCGATCTCTACTTTGGAGGTGACTTATCCTGATGATAATCTCCACTTTGGAGATGACTTACCATGACGGCGATCTCCACGTTGTAGGTGACTTACTGTGAAAGAAATGTTTACTTAAGAGGTAGTTTACTTTAATGGTTATTTCTACTTTGGTAATGACTTTCCCTAATATTGATCTCCAATTTGGAGGCGACTTACCGTGATGGTGCTTTCTACTTTGAAGGTGACTTACCGTGTCGCTGATTTCTACTCTAGGGAGGTGACTTACCGTGATGGTGATCTCTACTTTGGAGGTTCCCGTTGTACTGGTGGAGTCAGTACACACTACGGTCAGTATTACGTTAGACGGCATGGCACTATTATCTATGTCATAGTCCACAGCGAACGAAATGATTCCACTACTGGCATCAATGGAAAATCTGAAATGTAATGGCAAAATTTAGATTTTGTTGTCCTCTGTTCTTAATTGTTCTTTCTAAGTTTTGATAAGTAATTAAAAACTTTACACATTAGATAAATAAGTTAATTGTGATAAGTAATCATTTGTTTAGTAAAATATACAAGAGGTTCTAAGGTCACATTGCTCATCAGTCACATTACCCTTTTCTTGTAAAATGAAAATGTCGTGAAATTAAGTCTCCAATATTTGGTAAAACAAACTACAAGATCTACTATTTTTTTCAATGTTTGCGAGTTAACTTGTGCTTGAGGATTAAGTTCTATAAATTCATTTATAAACTTTGAAGAGCTATCATATCGCCACACTCCCCCCGCGGGCATACAATAGTTTATAACTCAACCAAAATGTGCGTAATTAATGAAACCTAGTGATTAAAGAATTGCTTTGTTTCGACCATATTTTTTCATTACAGCAGAGGAATGAACTTGCAATACTCAAACGTTTTTGTTAAATTCAAACAGAGTTTGAAATTTAAATTTCAGAATTTAAGCTCAAAATCTCTAGTAACGCCAAGTAATTTTACTTCGTTTTCCGGATTAATCCTATCACCATCTATTTCGAATTTTAAGCAAATGTTTTCCTGTTTTGTTTTCTTTTCCTGACATATAGCTTGAAATTTATCAGGATTGGCTTACATTTGGTTATCTTTAAACCACTTAACATAGGTTGAACAATGTGATTCTAATGTTTTTTTTAGCGAGTTAATATCGTCGCTCGAGTTTGGGAGAGTGTTATCATCGCCGTAGTTATAAAGGTACCATTATATTTTCACTTTTATGGATCCAATGGCTCTTCACTTGAACTAACTTGAATTCCTTTTACATAAGAATACCTACCAAATAAATAAATAAAAATAAATAAATAAATAAGTTGGAAAATACATTTAACAACATTCCAAACACCTAGGAGGTTCGATTTCTTCACATAAGATATATTTTGGAATGCAAATATCTAAATTACAAGTGATTTATACAGAATTTGAACAAGTTATTTCAACTTTTTGGGGTCAGTTTTAATTTTCAATTATAAAGTAGATGAATGGATTAAGAAAACATATTTTGAAAGATAAAAATAACTTTTTATGCCATTATCGACTTAATTTAAGAATATTGAAAACGCGTTACTCAAATAAAAAATGGCAATAAAAGTTTTTTTATGCTTTAAATCCAATAATTTTACGTCAAATACCCTTCAAAGTATTGCCTTTAAAATCTTAATCAAATGTGCTAAACGCAATTTAACTTTCATTGTGCATAAGTCATTGGTTTTGACAGATGGTAAAATATCACGTAATGGGTAATGTAAAATGCTTTGGAATTTTTTTTTTGTCGCATGACATGGCTGGATATTTATTAAGCTCTTATGAAACGTTCATGATTCCTAAATTACATTTAAGATTTATACAAAATCATTGAATAACGGATCTTAAGAAGGAGAAAATTTGTGTCTTCTTTAATACGTCGAGACTGGTTTAAATAGTTATAAAAGATCATTTTATAAGGAATGGTTTAATGTGTGTATATTTTTTGCTATGCGACCCCCTTAAAGAAAACAGAAATGCAATCAACTTAATCTACGGCACAACTTAAATTTTCATGTATATTTAATTCTTATACTAAATATAAATTTAATTGTCATTAACTAAAAGCCACCGTTTTTTATCTATGCACAATACTACAAACTAAAATGATGAAATATTCTAAATGAGAAATTGAATGCTTTAACCTTGATCATTAGAGGATTTTACTCTCAAATATTTTTCTTTTAAAAACTTTAAGCTGTATCACTGAAAATATGAATGTACAAGGAATATAATTTGAATCGCAATAAACTAAACCATTGTTAGAGTTTTTTGAATGTTTGTATTGTGGTCTTCTTCCCACTGAAATCATTTCGATGGCAATCTTTTGATTTAGTTCATAAATAAAATAAGTATATAAATTAATTAATAAACCAGATAAAACAAATAGATAAATTATAATTCAGTTTTTAATTTTTTACATTTCACTTTACGAATTACAGAGTCTAATGAAAAACAGAAGTCTTTCATCCTTGCTAATTTAAGCTCGACAGTTTAAAAGCAAACTTTAAGCTTATCTTATTAGAATCTTTATAAAGTAGCTGAGGGTCTGTAGCTCTCTGGTTTAATAATTTAAGATGGACCACCCCAATTTTGTTTAGACCAGTGCGCTACAGACCTATATGCTAAGTTGTAAGTATTTCAACCAATCATAAATTTTGTTATTCTCTGGAAAAAATATCTGTGATATATCTTCTCAGTAGTTTGAAAAAGTCTTTGAAAAAGTTTGTACATATTGTGCTTGACTTTTGAGGGGGGAGGGTGAAAAACTATCATTTATACTGTTGCATTGATGGTGCTCATGACTTTGAGAGTATAGTAGTGTATTTACCTATTACTGTTGTTTCCTGCCGCGAACGACAAAGAATACGAAGCGGCGCCATCATAGTCTCGGACAAGGAAATTCGGATTGTATGTTACACTGCCAGCCTGAAAATTAAAAAGTTTATTCATAATGATGAAGTAGAGTTTTATACAACAAATACTTAACAATTTTTTAATAGAATTAAATGCACTGACCGTGGCCTCGGCTAGGGAGACGTAGTAGTAAGACTTGTCGAAATAACACGGTTCGTTGATATTGTTGATGTTGACAGTGAGGTCAATAGGTCCTGTGGTTGCCATGGTATCTGTTACTGTGAATGACACGACATAGGAACTCCTAGTTTCAAAGTCAAAGGACTGTCCCGAGGTCAAGGACAACTGTAAAGCTAAAAATAGTCATAAAAAAATTAATTATTTGTAAGACATTGGGCACAAAACGCGAAACGATAATTCAGGAATAGACTGTTTATAGAGTACTGACTATTTGTTGCAAAAGTAAATTTTCCAGATTCTGCAGGTGGAGTAACTGTCCATGTATACGACAACGTTGCACCTGCGTCAGCATCATATGACGTCAGTGTATGTAAAACAGTACCAGATGCAGTATTTTCATTAACACTTATTGTTGCAGGCAAGTTTGTAAACGTGGGTATGTTATTGAGATCTGAAAATGGAAAAAAAAATTCGTTAAAATGTTTCCCATTCAAATGTTGCTGGTATGCATTGAAAACAAATTAAGCCTTGGTATATATATACACTTACTTGTCAGCTGTACTCTGAGTTTCTCTGTTACGGAAATAGAACCGTCGGAAACTGTTACATACAGATCGATTGCAGCATTGGTTTCAAATTTAAGTTCTCTGGCTGTTGTAATAGCCCCCGTAGCTGTAAGAAATGAACTATAAGGGTAGAAATTTTATCACAGAAATCGCTCTCATTGCAACAAATACAGGGGGAAATACTCAGTAACTTGCAACAAAATATTTGAAGAAAAATGATACAATTGAAAGCTACTCACTTGCATCTATTTTGAAACTCGTCGTTGCTGGTAAGCTTGTCATTGAAAACGTCAGTGGCGTGTGATTAAGCAGATCTGTGGCATCTACATCATAAATGGCGGCATTGTCACCAGTGGTCAAAGCTGCGTGTGTAGTCGTAGCTAAAAGAAACCAAATTCATGTGAATTGTGTACCTTAATCATAATTTACAGCATTTCTTATACAAAACATTATTTATTCATCAGTGACCAATGGATAAAATGAATTATTTCAGTCAATTTTTCAGTTGAATGACATCAAAACATACCTGGTATGTTACTGAAAGTAAGACGGTCTCCGTCAAGGATGTTTACTGTAAGCACTGCTGTTGGTTTATTCCCTGTGTTGTCATCACATTCCACCGTAAGCAAATACTGCGGAGTTGTAGCAAAGTCAAACGCTGGGTTTATTGAATTTGTATACACACCAAATTCTGAAAGATTTACATGTGTATGCATTTGAATATGTGTTTTTATTATGAATAAAGATATAGAAATGCAAATTTTAGTAAATTACTCGAGCCTTTTGTTTGTATTTTGTTTTAGGTTTCATAAAATGTAAAAAGCTGAACTGTGAGCTCCCTGTAGATAATGGAAATTGGTAAACTTTGAAATCCTTACTAGTTGTGATAGGATCTTTAAGGACCCTAAAGGAAGTTGTGGCGGGGGTTGATGACAAAATCTTGCAACTGAACGCGTCGTTATCGGCATCCGTTACTGTAAGTGTATAAATCAATCGGTCAGCTGTCTCCTGTTCACCCACCGTGACGGCTGTCGGCAATCCACCAAACTGCGGAGCCTGAAAGGATCAGTACGATATAAGCTAATAAAAACTGTCCTAAGGCGGAGAAGTAAGGTTCATGTGTTGATTTTTGTAATGGGTTGATAATGTTAGAGTTTATAACCTCTTTGAAAAATTTTAATATTAATTTTATGGCATATACAGTTCTTCAATGGAAAAAAATGTTATAATGCTCTTGTTCCTGTTTAACCAAAATTCTTAAAAAGGAGGTAAATATGGAACAATTTAAAGTTCATCGATACTCTGATAAGAGAGATAACTTTTAATGACATAAACATCTATTATTCCTTTATAAAATTTGTCAAGTTGAAGTGTCTTTTTTGTCCAATTTTGCCCCACAAGCTATGCTAAAATTATTTGTATTTATTTAATAGTTACATTTCTTTTCGGAAAAAGAGCTGAAGAAACATTTAATATGAGCGAGCAGAGGGTTTTTGAACCCTAATGAAACAGTCACCATGGCGACAGAAAAAAGAAAACAAAAATGTGTTCATTATTCGATTGATTATCTGAGTTTTGGACTGAAAGATTCCAAATATCTCACACTTGTACTTATATCTTTCAAAAAGTGGTAAAATCTGTAAACAGTGGCAAATGCATCAAAACAACTCATCTTAAATATCGGAGCTCTTACATTGTTTAACAATCTTTTTTGCGAAAAATGAATACAAAATATATTGGTGAATGTACAATAAGGGTATTTCGCCTCTACCTACACTATTCGATGAGAGGATTATTCATATCAAACTCTACAAATATTTACAATGTATTATTATACATGTAATTAAGTATCATATACTTTGAAATCATATTAATTCGTGTTAAAGCAATATCCGTGATCTGTTCAAAATGGAAGGGTTCTTTGGAACATAGTTTCGTTGGCAACATCCTGTTATTTGTGACAAGACACTAAAAAATGTCCAGGGAAGTTTTTTTTTTCTTTAAATCTGTGCAATTCAAATTTTTGTTAAGTAAAAGCTTTCAAAAGAATTCTTTATCCTGAATTTATTAGGAACTTCTTAACCGCATTCAAACTCATTGTACAGAATTTAAAAATAGTTGAAAAGCGTCTATTCTAAAAGTAAAAATGTGTCAAACTAAATTCAATGCTTATTTTACCCAATGAAAAGTTAAATTTTACCCCTTGACATAACCAAGGATATATGATTTAATCAAGATATAATTAATATTTGGTCTACTTCTTAATGGCAATTCTGAGCTCGGTCATATTCAAAAGTACCTATTTTTCCTTAGAAACTGACTCCTTAACCTACAAACAGTTTAACAAAGGGTTTGTGATGTTTGGATAGATATTGAATTGGAATAAAAAGTATTTCAATAGGAATTTTAAAAAGCAAAGAACATGTTTAATGTTGGAGCTGCTTAGGATTTAGATTGACGAGGAAGAAACGGAAAAACAGTATATATAAAGCATCACTGAGGAGTAATTCATCAATTCATATGTGATCTTTTCATATGCCGTACATAAAAGACAAGAGAGAGAGAGAGAGAGAGAGAGAGAGAGAGAGAGAGCAGACCCAGCCAAAAATTACTATAGTAAAGTATAGTTTACTATATGTAGTTTACTATAGCTATAATTTACTGTATTATCGAAGTCTTTACTATTGTAAATCATAGTGTCAAAGTAAGGAGACAAAGAGAAAGTATTAAACACTTCAAAATTATAAAGCGCCATTCATCTTAATAGGATTTCTTAATTTTTTTTAGACGAAAAATGACTTTTAGTCATGTAATTCTCTTCTTTCATTCTTGGTTCTTAGTTTATTCCTAGCACACAAATTTCTTACTGTTAATAATTTAAAGGCCTCTGGCCGTTACTGAGAGCTATCTATTTTCTGGTGCATTTGTACCGGTGTTTAATCAAGTTTAAGTAGGTTGCATTTTATGCATTCAATCTCAACGGAGCTATTCTAAAAAAAAGTACAGAAAGATTTAATGGAAAAAATAAGTACTATTGATGCATGTATGCATTCGATTACAACATACAGTCGTTAAGAGCAATTTCATTTTAAAACTATTTTTCCATTACTTCTCGCATTCTTGTGAATGCATAATTATTGATTAAGCAAAAGAAGCGAATATATATTTAATAAGAAGGCGTTTTTATCCAATTACTTTGCCTACATACACTGCAAACCCATCGTCTCCACTGAATTACAATTACAATGTCTATGGTGTAAAATGTGAAGAAGCATTTTTTTCCTATCTTGATTTGATGTCTGGCAATTTTAAGGCTTAGACCTTGTATTAAAACATTAAGCTTTCTTTATACCTTTCATAAAATGTCACAACTCAATGATTTAAATGTAAAATTTGTTCCAGTTTGTGCTTACAATTTTGCCTTAAATGCGCTTTCAAGACATTTCCAAAGAATATAAAATCAAACTTATCAGTACAAAGTTCTTTATCTTACAGCGGTAGGGGAAAATCGACGGTTTATGAATTAATTTTTTGTTGAAATAAATTTTAAGTGCTTTCATAAAAAAGTATTATGTCAAATTTATACTTGGCGGAAATTTATGACAATATTCTTAAATTATTTTTTTTAAAAGAATACTAGAACTTTAAACTGCATTTGTGCATCTTTGCACAAATGACACCATTAAATATCAACCAGAAATAATTATAATCATAAGCAATCGATTATAAACAGGCAATAAAATATAAACTTTAAAGTTCAAAACGAACTTTTAGAAAATCATACAAAATGAAAAAAAAAAAAAACCAAGATGTGTTTGTGAAAAACTAATGTCCCCGAATAGCAACTTATAGCAAAGGTTTAACTTTCTCAGATGCAAATCAATATGTTGGTACTCAAAGTAAGGTCTTGTCTCGAGGAATATACCTGTGAAATATGAAAGCCCTAGCAGCAACCATTGGATAGATATGGAAAAGGTTAAAGTTTTTCAAAAGTAAGTCAAACATCAAGGTCAAGTTCAAATGGTCAAAATTAATGGGGCCCAAGGAAAGGCCTTCTAACAAGAAATACACGTCTGAAATATGAAATCCGTAGCACCAATCGTTCAAAAGTTGTGGCCAAGGTTAAAGTTCTTCAAAAGTAGGTCAAAATCCAAGGTTAAGGTCAGTGGATTACAAATAGGAATAGACATGATAAAAACATGAAAGCCCTAGCACTAACTGTTCAAAAGTTATGGCCAAGGTTAAAGTTTTCCAAAAGTAGTTCAAACTCCAAGGTCAAGGTCAAAGGGTCAAAGTTGTTGGTATTCAAAAGAAGGTTTTATCACAAGGATTAGATATGTGAAGTATGAAAGCCCTAGCACCAATTGTTCAATAGTTATAGCCAAGGTTAAAGTTAGGTAAAATTTTGCAAAACTGGGTCAAACTCCAAGGTCAAGGTCAAAAGGTTAAATATGATGGTACCGGAAGAAAGGTCTTGTTACAAGAAATACACATGTGAAATATGAAAGCCATAGCTTTAAGCAATCAAAAGTTATGGGCAATGTTAAAGTTTTTGCGGACAGACAAACAGACAGCCGGACGGACAGGGTAAAAACTATATATCCCCGAATCTTCGATACGGGCTTAAAAAAAATCTATATGATTTTATAATGATTAACCATACAGGAGTTCATAAGGTTCATTGCAGGATAAATGTATGTATAATGTATATGGGTTTTTCCCCTTACCTCTTATAAAACATTTCTTTTATCCCCGCATGCTTTTTTGATAGGCAGGTTTTGATTTTTTAAAGGTATTCTTTAATTTATGTTTTTTTATGTAATGTAAGTTATGCTTATTCGGGATTATATTGCATTTATAATGCCAATGGTTCTCTTTGTTTTGCCGTGTTTTTCTATTCTTTTCTGGCCTCCATTTTTGTACAAGTTTGCATTCGCCATGTTATGAATATAAAGAAAATCTTTTTTCATTTCTCAGCTGTGTAACTGGTTCTTTTTGCTTCATCAAAAAGTCTACTTTGCAAAGTACCCATTGAACAACAAAAACGGGAAAATGATTTAATACATTGTAACATAATAAAAAATTTTTATAAACTTGTAATGAGTTGATCAACTTCTTATAATGATTTAGAAGCAAGCTATACTGTCGTCATTATTAGCCCGTCATTATTTCTGTACTCAATTTTTGAATCTCTGGACGTCCGTCATAAAAGGAGTCAAAATGGGATGTTACACGATGATGTTGATTGTATGTCTTGTCGAGAGAAAATAAAAGAGTGTAAGCACGAACGTTATCTACATTCCATTGTTAAACAGTTTGGTGATTTAAATTGTGCATCAGTAGTACACTCAGAAAAAGTGTGTGAAGTAATCGTTTCTACATTATGTTATTTAGCTCCAAGTTTCATCTGTTCAGAGAGACAATTAATAGGTGGGTTCAGTGCTACTTAAGCTATGTAGATGGTATATTAATTCAAACGTAATTAATAGATACCAATTTTTTCTCTATCCATAGCCCACAGGGCCAGGATGATGTCATAATTAAACGTAGAAAAAATTAATGCGGAAAGCATCTTGGACATATTTGTCGGATTGTGCTCTAAAGTGTTGCATCATACAGTATATTGATAGGGGAAGCTCAAACGCATTTTTAGTTTTTACTTTATTTTTTGAATAGACATAAAGAGAATCTTCGGTGTTTTTTTTTTTTGTTTTAAGTCTATAAACAACATAAAAATAATACTTTTGAAAAAAGTAAGGGTTGAAAGTCTTTATGCATATTTAGAACTTAAAAGTATTTAACTGTATTTCATAATTCATAGTTGAAGAATGGGGATCTTGAATGAAAAAGTTTAAAATATTTCCTCTGTTGAATACTGACACAAGAGGCTTCTTCTGTAAACAACCCGTACAAACACACTTGAAATATAACTATTAAAAGAGTATTTTCTTTTAAATTTTATAATATGAAATCACCTTGACATATATTAAAATTTCCATCAAATAGTTCTTATTATGATTGAGAAGAAAAAATATGTTGTCGTCATTATAGCCCACTTACTATTTCTTTACTCAATTATTTCACTAATTGGACGTCTGTTTTAATGGAGTCATAATGGGAGGTTACATGATTATATTGATTATATGTCTTGTAGAGAGAATAAAAGAGTATAAGCACGAATGTTATATATATTTCACTTTTAAGTAATTTGGTGATTTAAATTATGCATCAGTTGTACATTCAGAAAATCAAGTTTTTAAAATACTAGTTCCTACATGTATATTATTTAGCTGGGTTCAGCAGTAAGCCTATGCATTTAATCTAATTAAAAGTTGCCACATTTCAATATATTTTTTTTTCAAAACTGCAGGACCAAGACGATGTGAAATTAGTGATTTAACATGAAAAAGAAATTGCATGAAAAACCTATTCGTCGTATTGTGCACATGCAATAAGGCCTTTAGCATGCAACTTCTGCTTTATGAAGTTTAAAGTATTTTCCTTTGGCATAGAGATTAGAAAGAATTTCCCTTTGTTTTCTTTTCTAAAACAACACAAAATGAAAATTAGGTTGCGAAGTTCTCTATGCAAATTGATGTGACAAATGTATTTAGTTGCATTCCCAATACATCTATTAGCAAGAAAGAGGTACTCAAATTGATATCCTTTTATAAAGAAATATGTTTTAAATAAATGAAATATGAAGAACGAAAGTATTCAAGCTCAGAAGTTAATGAAAACAATACAAATCAAGAGCAGAAAAAATACGAACCTTTTAAAGCATGAACAATATAAAAATATGCAAGAATTAATCTTATCAAAATAACAATAAATAAACGATACGTGATATTACCTATTTTTCTATTATTCTTTCAATACATTTGATGATCAACAACAAATTCAGCATGCAATGACTGATACAATATACACATCACATTTTTACTTTTTTTTAAATGCAGATTTAGAATGAGATGTCCATTTTGGAATAATTTAATTTCCATTTTAAAAAGTTTTTAAAAGAGATTCAATTTTTCTGTATACACGTTATATGTATTCCACTAAAAGTTCTAAAAATCATGATTACTTTGCAAACAAATACAATTAATTTTACAAACATGATTCTATATCTGTTTTTCAACTTCTTTAAAATAGCCATGTTCTTTTACTTTGATATAATAGAACGTTTTTCCTTACTTTAAAAGGAAATTTCCCCACAGGAAATAATGTTTTATTTGCAATCTATTCTCGAGCTGACCTATTGTAGAGAATTCTATTAATGTTTTGTTGACAGGGACTCGAGAGAAAGTAATAGTGTAGTTTATTCTGCGAAAACTTTTTGAAGTTTTGTTGAAATAGGGTTTGATAAAAATAATTTGAAAAGGCCTAAAGGAGAAGAAATGATTCCAATCTCTCATGAGAAAAAATCTCAGAAAGAAGTCAAATAAGTTTATTAAGGAATATACCAAAGAAAAAAGTTTATTTTTATAAGTTCCGGGTTAAATTTACTTGAAATTAATCTGTAGAAATATGTCACTGAAATGCAGGAATATAAAATGCATGAATCTAAAATTCTACGACATATGTACATGTGTATTGGATATGAATTTGTAACCTATCTATTTGAAATGCACAAACATCACGAGAAGAGACAAAGAGACAAAATTGAGATCTTAATGTTCTTCTGTAAAATCTAACATGCCAGAAAAATACAATCTGGCATCAATTGAGTTTGATCTGGTAGCCGATCAAACAAATTTTCCGGCGAACCCACATGTTGCATCTTTGGTCGGTAACTAATGAAGTGGAAGCCGCTAGAAAATGTTTGAACTGTATTACTAGTATGTCAAATTAATAATTGTAGAAATTATGACAATTCTTTCAAAACTCTATGTTTTTATAACAATAGAATTTTCATGTAAATTTCCATCAGAAATCATAATGACAATCACGAACAGTCTTTTACAAAGGAAGTAGAAAAAGAAGGAAATTTCAGTCGAATAGGAACTTTAGAAAATCACACAAGCATATATATATATATATATATATATATATATATATATATATATATATATATATATATATATATATATATATATATATATATATATAAGGCACTAAATATGACCAACGACACGAACAATAACAATTGTCAAATTTTCGGGACGTCCCGAAAATTTGACAATTATTATTGTTCGTGTCGTTGGTCATATTTGGTGCTTTATATAAATTTCCATCCGTGACCTTGTATCTACTTAGTAGATCCGACACTTAGGATATACAGTGTTGTTGGTTTTTAGTGCTTTTATATATATATATATATATATATATATATATATATATATATATATATATATATATATATATATATATATATATATATATATATATATATATATAAAATTTATTTTTAATTTTTTAAAGTATTGTGTTATTTCTACATCAAGTATCTGGTTATGTTTGCTAATCAGTTTACTTTGCAAAATACCCATTGATCAACAGAAGAAGAAAATGGTTCAATATATAACAACATAATAAAACACTGATAAACCTGCTATGTCTTGATAAAGACTCATTCCTCTACAAATAGAGATGAAATATACCATTATATAAAGGGATGTATTCAATAATCGACCATTAATCCACCTTTACATTACTTAATATTTTCATCAAACAGGTTCTTATTGTGATTTAGAAGCAAATTATACTGTTGTTATCATTAGCCTATTATTATTTCTGTACTCATTTTTTGGATTCAATGTTAGTCCTTCAGAAAAAGTCATAATGGGAGGTTACAGTATGATATTGATTATATGTCTTGTCGAGAGAGAATAAAAGAGTATAAGCACGAATGTTATCTTTATTTCATTGTTAAATAGTTTGGTGATTTAAATTGTGCATCAGTTATACACCTAGAAAACGTTGTGAAATTTAGTTTCTACATGTTTACTACATCATTTGCTCAGAGAAACAAGGGATAAGTTCAATTGTACTCCAGCCTGTACGTAAATAATTTAAACCTAATTAACAACTCTTACATTTCGTTTTCAATTCATAGTGATATGATGTCATATTAGTGATTAAATGTGGGAAAAAATTAATACCGGTGGCATCATGGACAAATTTGTCGCATTGTGCAATAAAGCAATGTTTCATGCATTTTAAATGTTATTTTCAAATAGACATAAAAAGAATCTCCCGGCGTTTTTTCGTCTATAAAACATAAAAAAGAAATATTAACTGGTGGTCGTAAGACAGAATATTTCTTTTACCCATGCACCTTTGGGCTTCTTTAAAAGAAAAAACCAAACAAAATCTTGCAATGTTTCATAACACACCTATAAACTGATTTTTAAACTTAAACACTAAAGACGGTTTTTAAGTTATTGAAAATAAACCTTTTGTATGTTTTTTTAATACTCATGATTCTGAAAGAATTAAATTATGCTTTCTTCTTAATTGCATATTGGATTTGTCTTTCATATATATATATATATATATATATATATATATATATATATATATATATATATATATATATATATATATATATATATATATATATATATATATATATATAGGCAAAAAATGAATTATATTTATGCATACAATACACAGTGTACTGGATGGACTGTAAAAAAAAATTCTGTTCTTTGTTTAAAAAAGAATTTTAAAAAAGGTTTACATAGACTCTGAAATTTCAAGTAAAGTTTAGTATAGCCTTTTCTTTCATGTTCTGGCCGTAAAGGTACATGTATATATCCTATTTTCAGGTAATATGCCATCATTGCTAAAATGATATTTACTATTCTATAATATTTTTAGACAAAAACAACTTTGTTTAACATGCACGTGTAAGGGCGGTTCCAGCAAAAAAGACAATAAACGGAGGTCTGGTCACCTTAGGACTCTAACTTTCTTTTTCTCTCTCTCTCCGTTTTGGTTTGTTAGAAAAGTTTTCTGTTAGATTTTATGGAAAAAGAAATGAGCCTCCCTTTTTAGAAAAAAAAAGTGCCTGGATCCGCTCTAGAGGTGTATGCAAAACTCAGTAAATAGCAAATTATGTGTTTGAACAACACAACTTTATATATATTGTATATTTCTGAAATTACACACTTATCGATATTAATTTTTCATCAGGTCAGTGGAACTCATTCAACCATGTCGAAAATATTTTCTTCTTCTGCAGAGACATTAACTAAGATGTACGTAGTTTTCGAACATCTTACAAAATTAAGTTTAAGAGCACTATAAGAATACCCTTACATATAACATCATTACAAGACCCACACTTCGGACCAAACTTCTAAACAGACCAAACTGAGTCTTCGGACCAAACAGACCAAACAGACAAAATTGTAAATTTCAACGTAAAACATATCTTTTACAACGAGAATAATACTTTAATATTAGGAAAATGTAAAGGTTAGAAAAATATAATTTAAAAAATAAATAATTACTCACGGCTCCATGGCATATATGTAGAAAGCTAAGTGATGCAACGTAAAATAACAGGGACTTCATCCAATTTCTTTCCATTCCTTCCATCCAGCGTTCAGTACTTTTTTTTTTTAAACTTTGTATATTTCGGTATCTTTAAAATTTCTTGTGCTACTTCAGATCATATTAAAGATAGTTTGGGCATCATTAAATTTCTTGAATGCGAACAACTTTCCCCTTATGATTGAACGTTAAATGCCTTATGAAATTGTTGAGACGTATGGGTTATTGTGATGCAAGTCTTTAAGGAGGTAAATTATTTAAAATCCCCATTTGAAAAGATAGAAATATATGAGGTAGAAACTAACAATGTGTCTTTCATCGTTTATAACTGAAGACATAACATGTAAATACGTCGTCCATTCAAACAACAAATTACATTAAAAATGACGGGAAAAGATTTGTAGGGACATGTATTATGTTGGATCAATTTCGATAAACTCATATTTTTCTTTTAACTGCCGACAGGCATTGAATATTCTGAAAGACCTCTCTGCTCATTGTAAGTTCTTATTTGACATATCATACTTGGGTCAAGAGTACCAATGAACTGTCAAAATTAGACGTAAATAATATCCACAAAACATGTAAACAGGCAAGATTTTGACGCAATCGACCCATTCAGTTTTGAAGAATTTGTTATGTCAAAAATTGGTCAATTTTGTATTTCCGGAAAATATTTACATATTTTTTTAACGCAGAATATTCATATGTCTACTAGAATTTCAGATTTCTTTGTTTGTTGAAAGGTTTTTCATTGTAAGGAATAAAATAGGATTCCAGTACGTCAAACTATTATCTTCACTCGTTTTTACTTTTTTTTTTTTTTTTTTTTTTTTTGCAAATAATTCTTCTGTTGTGAAGAACATATTTTCAAGCTTATTGTCTTTGTATTTATTCAAGATTTGATAGTAAATTTTCATACTGTTAAAAGAAATTCAACTTGTCCTACCCCCCTTTTTTATTTTTTACTAGAAATAACTTGAAATTATAAATATTATTCTTATTTCTGCTTGGTAAATATTTTTGTCAGATTATTTTATTACAATTATTTTTATTTTATATTCAAATTAAAAAAAAAGAAGAAGATTATATTCCGGATTTTCCGCTTCTTACTGTGCTCCTACCAAATATTAGATCAATTATATGGATTCATTTGAAATGCAGATTTTAAAACTGCACTTGAAATTCTTTTGAAGATCAAGGTTTAAGTTTAGATCAATTATGTGCATGTATATTAAACTGTATTTATATATCATAATGTCTTTGTTTAAAATCCAAGCAATTACTTTTATATTTTGTGCACGATAACACACCATTTAAACTTGCTCAAAGCAGAAATACAGATAAGATTAAAAAACAAAATAAAGAATAATATGATATATGTTAAATGTTCCTTTTTCTTTAATAAATATATCTAGGAATATATCCACTTCTTTTTATTCTAACTAAAATGTGTTTGAACTCAGTTCAATGGCGCCATGTGCTTAAAAATCCAAGGTCCCATGCACATTTTAAAAGCAGTTTGAATTGGAAAACATTCATCTTATTTCAAGTTATTGATTCAATCCAATTTGATTTAAAATGTTTTCAAAGATGATATGAACAGTATTAATGTTCATAGGAAAATAAATATTATAGACAAATAAAAGGAACATAGACTGCCGTGGAAATATCAGTCTTGAAAGGTTAGAATAAGGCAGATGAATAGACAATTTAAGAGGATTGGCATGTCCAGTTGGCTATAAAAATATTTGATTTACGTCTTGATGCAATTTAAGACATAAAGAATCAATTAAACTGGTGAATTCTGATAACATTTCGAATTTGTCTTGTAAATTATGTTTATTTGTGACTACTAGTAAATGCTTATCAAGTGCATACCGTACTTTACCATAACTTTAAAACTATCACTGAAACTTGTCGATGGAAAAGCCAGTCTAGTATTAAATTAGATAGTAAAAAGAAATAAGAAAAAGACAACACATTTGTCAATTTTGTTATCACGAATTGTAAAATCGCCTTTTCATCATTAGTTGAAATTTTTTTCATTTCATCTATAACTTTTCACTTTGTGTCCATCAATTAAGTCAATGTCTTAATTGTAAAAGAATTTTGAATCGTGATACTCCAATTCCCGTGTGAAATAATTTTTTTTAAATTAAAACTTTGTTTACAACACAATGACCATAACACAAGCATGTTTCCCCTGTATTTAATCGGTTAAGTCAGTAATTCAATTAAGCATTGTATTCTTATTTTTGGATGTCGTCGGTCCTATAACAGCACGTGTCTGTGCCGACAAATTGAATACCGCGCGTTAGCGCGGTATGATAATTTGTCGGCACAAAAAGGTGCTTTTATAGGACCGACGACATCCAAAAATAAGAATTCAATGCTTATATTTACATTCTCTAATTTTCTCACTTATTAATTGTTAATTTCTTTAATCTTATGAATTTAGCGCCATTCAGAACTGGTGTGCTTAATAAACGCATGAGCTTGTGACGTTGGAAGATGAAATAACGCAAAGGAATTATTGCGAGGGAAAAAAATAGCAAATTAATTTTAAATGTACAATTGTTACAATTTTACAATAATTTAATAAGGTAATTGGATTTAATTAAATTGAGCTAAACAATAAACATGGTGTTCCTAGACTATTGAAAATGCAAATAGTTCCTACCGTGTATTGTACCGCGCAGTGACAAGGCTTTGCGTGTGTTACAGAGTATTGAATGTTGTATGTTTTCAATGGATTTCATAAAGAAAATTACACTGAATGTAAATATTAAGGTTATGAATATTTTGAAAAATCAATTTGAAGATTACACTATTATTGTTGAATAATCATTTGATTTTTTTGTTCATAACTTATCTAAGGAAATCCATTTAGGACCTATAAAAATATTTTTGAATTCGATTTAAAGAATGGTCAAATTCTTAAATTGAATTAAATTCTGTTATATAATTTTTTAAACCCGTCATATCAAATTTAATCTTTATAATTTTTTTTGTTGAATTCCTTATAACAAATTCAGAAAGTTGTTTAAACGAATTAAATTGTTTAAACGAATTCATTAATATTTTCTATAGGCAAGAAATGTCGAATTTCTAAACGAATTTAATTCATTATAACAAATTTAAGAATATTCATCTTAACGAATTTAATTCGGTATAACTATTTCTAGAATTCATTGAAACGAATTTGGAAATCAAATTTTGGAAAGAGTTCAAACGAATTTGATCTTTATTACATTTTTTTGAATTTGTTATAACAAATTCAACAAATCTGATATAACGATTTTAATGCATTATAACGAATTTAAAGTTTTTATTACGAAATAAATTTGTTTTAACAAATTCGTCAATTCATTATATCGAAATCGAATATATCTTTGATAGGTCCTAAATGGGCTTCCTTAAACTAGCATGCATTTATAAAAATTGGAATTTTGGTCAAAATGTAAAAAAAAAATACTAATGATATCTTTACTTCCTATTCTTTTTAGACTTCATATCTTCTCTATATTTTTGAACAATCATAGCTAACTCACGTCTTCTAAGTGTGCTCTGTAAACACCATCAACAAATTCAGAAGGCATAAAGATTTTCATATTGCTTCTTTGAGCAATGAGAAGTAGTATTGTTGTTTCCATGTATCATGAAATAAATTTTGAGTTGGATAGATGTGCGTGCGTTTGTTTGTATGTCTGTGTTGGGGACCGAGGAGGATGTCATTGCTCAAATCAAACTTGACCTGAATTTTTAATAAATTGTGAGTTTTGAGAAGATTCGGGGAAAACCGTTCTTTAAGAACATGGAAATTAACATTAAAAACATCTAAGACGATCGTTTTTAGATTTTTTCAGTGCATTTGGTCTTTCTGTAATTCTGTATGTCTGTCTTTAAATCTTTTGGAATAAGTAAAAAAAAGTTATATTGAAATATTGAGTATACTCATTACAACTGTTAATGATAAGTTTACAGGTACCTTCTTATAGTTTATGCGATTGAATGATACATTGTATGAAGCTATCGAGGATAACAAGTTTTTGTTTTTGTTGTTTTTTTAAGCAAAGACGTGACGTTGCTTTCGACATTTCGACACGTTATCATCCGTGACCCGTCAAAAATGTACGGGTTTTGGCATGTTAGAGATGTGTTTTCAAGTCATACGTTAAAGATTTTCTCTTCTGCTTTAAAAGAATTTCATAACATTTATATATAATCATCAATTACAAACTACAGTACATACAAAATTGGTCACTCAATAGATAACCATTTATTACTTTAGACGATAAGGACCAACTAACAACTAAATTGAGTGATAAACGAGATGATTTCAGCTTTTCCATTGTCAACTTTCCTTATTCCGCTTTCACGTGCATATGGTGTTTACGTCTCACAACTTATTCGATACTCAAGAGCATGCTCTGAGTACGATCAATTTTTTAAACCAAGGCAGGCTACTGACAGATAAGTTTATGTTACAGGGATTTCGGCAGCCTTGTTTAAAGTCAGCATTTCGTTAATTCTATGGTCGTTATAATGACCTTGTTAACAAATAAAACCTATCACTGGGTCGTATTTTGGCTTAAGTGTTTCATACCAATTGTTAGGCTTTTGTTTTTATACAAAATTTGACAAGAATGTTCCGTCTATCTGGTCAATATATAGGGCTCGCAGCGGGTGTGACCGGTCAACAGGGGACGCTCACTCCTCCTAGGCACCTAATTCTACCTCTGGAATTAACGGGGATCTGTGTTTCATGCCCTGTTCACAGATTTGTTTTGTATGTAGATATTTTGAGATCGATCATTGTTCATCATCTTCACTTTTTTCATTATTAGTTTTATAAAATTCAGCATGTTCGTAATGCAATTAACACAATCAACTAAAGAAGTATAAACTTACTGAATAATAAACGTGTGATTTATTCCAAGAATGTTGAAATGCTGCAAATCTCTACTATTGTGACTCAGGGGAGCAAAATATCTCAAGCAAACAACTCTGATTTTGAGATCATCACCGCAGAAAGTTTGCGAAGTGGAGGAAATTGGATCTACCTATCCCTTCATCAATACCTTCTAAGAATTAAATTACAGAATAAGGGGGGGGGGGGTAAATAATAATACAAACCAGAAACTTAACTTTAAGAGCACTGTGTTGTTTGATATTTTAAGAGCACTGTGTTGTTTGATATAATTTCAGTCTTAAAGCGTATATGGAAAAATCAGCATTCGGCAAATACAGTTCTAAAGAACCAAATAGAGATTTCCTGTTTTACCAATATTTATTTCCAAATATTAAATATTGAGTAGTCGACTCTTTTTCAATTGATGGTAAAAATGTATCACAATCGAAATACTGTATAATTGTCTTCATTTTGAGATATTTCAATTTTGTTCTTTTCACATAAATTTAATGTTCAATAATTGAGTATCGAGTATATTTTTTTTACATTCAATATTTCTTTTCCTGCAATCACCGTCGAGTAGATACCTATTATTGTGTTAATAACATAGAAAGTCATTATAGATGTTTATGATTTTCTGCAAAAGATTTAAACCATGTGCACTTTTTACAACAATAATAACAGCAAATTACACACATTAGTAAACAGTTAAATATCTGAAGCCATGAGAATTTGAATTTTTATTCAAGTTGAGGAAATTGTTAGCTTCCTTAGGTCTTTGAAGAATGAGTGCCACGTTCACCCACCGAGACTTCCAACTGGTAAATTTTCACGTAGCATTTTTAAGTAATGAGAAGTAATTTTCATTTCCCGTTTGACAATAAAACTTAAAGTTGACAGACTTGGTAGAAAAAGAATACATTGCTGAAATCAAAAGTGAGAGCATGATCTGCATCTTTAGAAAAAAAAATCTCAGAAAAGGCATGTTCTTAAGTATTTTTAAGAAATAAAAATCTTGACCCTGTAACTATGATTGAATGCTTAAATTTATTTGAAAATAAAATCTGTCTCATTTTGATTCACTTTAGCAGTTTAGTTTTCATAAAATTTGTTATTTGTTAGAAGTTTTGTTTTTATAAATTCCATCAGAAATTATTTTTTGAAGACAAATCGATATATTCACTTGATTAAGACAAGTTAAGCTCAAATTTTTCGAGAGTGTTGATATTCGCGTAGAAAATGAAAAATAGAGGTTATTTTAATAACATGAATATACGTCTTCTTTTGTGAAGAAAGAAATTTATTTTTTCTTCACTTTCTGACATTTTATTTATTTTAGCTCTTTTTTGATGAAAATTGAGGTTAAAAAATAAATTTGTAAATGTAAATCTTGATTGCAAAATTTTGTAACTAACAAAATAATATTGTTTTTAAATAAATATTTTTTGAATGATATAATGTGTTCAATTACTCCGTTTCTAAGGTAAGTCATTGTTGTGGTTCTATAAAAAGTATTGTTTTTTCTTAAATAATATCCAACACATTCTAATACTGTAGGACTTTTGCAATATCTATCAATTATTTCTGCAATATTTAGGTTCGTCCAAATGTTCTGAACCAGTCGCCAATTATTCTTCTATCATAGTATGAATAAAGAATTCATGACGGAGGTCTTCTCAAAAAAGAAAAAAAAAAAGAAAGAAAGAAACGCAAACATTTTCTTCAAGGTCAAACTGTCTGTTGTCTTATTCTTAGTTCTTCTATACTCAGTAGAAAACATTTCAGATTTTTAGAATCAATGACAGCTAAATGTAAACTTATTAAAATGGAAATGTTTTTTTTAACCCCTTGGAAAAAAAGATTTTTCTTTTATAATGATGAAACTTGAAGTATTGTGCTTTTTTCAATTCTGCGTGAGAGTTCGATAAACAACTTCGTTCTCTCAGACATGCTATTAAAACAAACAATATGATCAGACATCAAAAAGAGGTTCTGGTACCCGTGTGAATTGATCAGACAAGACAAACAAATATTTTTGCATTTCGCTTGATTAAAAAATAAACAGAAGAAAGAGACCTTCAAGTTGACCATAATTATTAACCTGTATTACATAAGCAAAATATTGGAACTTTTCTTCTTATTATTTCTTCCAACTAGTAGCACAATTAAAAAAAGGTTTAGTACAGAAGAACCGTTCAGCAGAAAAGTACACATCAAGTCACGTAATTGCTTTTTGTTAGAAGTTCCTTTTATAGAACATAAAATCCGCTTGAATCCGCTTCATTGAAAGGTAACCTTGATATTTTGGTATTAAAATTTTTTAAACATTTTAAAAATTATCATTTTCTTTAAGTGTCTTCTAAAAGAATTCACTTTTTTTTAATATTCTTGGACACATTTGAGAAAGTCTGATTTCCAAGAATTTAATATGTGTGAACGTAAACTTCCATTGAAATCCAGTTCCTCTGTAATTTTTCAACTACCCCTTCTGGCTCTTTTGCTTTCTTTCTCATTTTGCAAAGGACGTCACTTTGTTAAAAAGCAGGGTATGCCAAAGTCAATTTAGACTAAATGACTAAATGACTAGATTTAGAAATTTTTTACTTATAATGGTAAATCTCAAGATTTAAAAAAAATAAAATAATTGTTGTTAACCTCCTAAATATGACAGAAGACGAAACGTGATAGCAGCATTTCTTACTTTTGGCAGTTGTGTTTATCTAGAGATTGTGCGACTTGACGAAGAAATTGTCCGTATAATCCAGAAATAAAAAAAAAAAGATCGTTTGTGTGTATACGAAGTTGATTTCATTTTACCACACTTTTGCAAGTATGTGATAAATGGTTTCGCGAGAATCACGCTTTATGCTTCAGAAATGTTACATGTTGAAAGATGTCATTGCTGATGCATTTATTTATTTTCCCTACATTTGTGAAACTTCTCATGATTGAATTCTCGTATTTAAATAAACGACGCCAAATAGTATCAATAAGAAAATTATTACATGTATATGAAATCTTCCGAGTTTTTTTTTTTTATAATTCGTTGCTATTTGGTTTTATTCAAAAGACGCATGTTTTCTCGACAACACCAATATGTTATTTGTAAGTATACTAATAGGAATATTTAAAAACATTTTACATGAAAATAAATATAATTGCCATTATCTTTACATAATGTGCAGTGTATTAAGATAGGGATTTAGTGTGAAAACATTAGGGCGTTATTGCTTTATGTGCCAAAGTCATGATGTCTCTTCTGTTTTGATTAAGACTGAATGACTAGAACTAGAAATGTCTTACTCATAAGGGCAAACCTTATAAAAAAAATAGCAATAATCAGTTGACTTGCCATACTTTAAAATACAACGAAATTATTGATTTTCGTTGTTTTTATGGTATGAAGCGAACCACAAATTCATGTCCTCCACGAAATATTAAAAAGTAACTGAGATTTACCTCTCTACTTCAAGAACGAAATCAAATTCCTATCAATTGTTCCTCAAACAATGAAAATCTCAGCCCATAAAAATAAGTGATTTTACAGTAAATACCGAGATTTTACTCAAATGAAAGCCATGGGAATGTTGAAATAATAGTAGATGATAAAATTAACTTAAAAAGATTTCAAAAACGTAACAATTTTATTTCAAACAAACATGCAACATACAAAGCAAGTCAAATAAATAGAAAACAAACTCCAAAGAATTTTCACAGGTACATGTAGCTTTGGCACGACGGTGGTGGATTTCTAAGACTTAAGGATGTCACATTTTCATTGCTTCTGGCAAACCCTCTTCCATTTGTGCAGTTGAGAAGGGGTCTCTCTTTTTGTTTAGGTCATCTGGAAAATCAAATCGAATGTGCTGTCCAAAATTATGACTTAAAGATACATTTTGATTTTGGCAAATATTGCAGTAAATGTAAAGCTATCTAGACACGATTTTTAACATGACACAGTGTGTCATTGAAAAGTTCTGAACAAACAAAATATCTATACAGTACCAATCTCCTCAACTGTTGACTCCATATGATGTCATTTCTTGCTATATATATAATTAATTTAGATGGTCTTAATGTCAGAAAATAGTGTAATTTACTCACTGGCGTCCCAGAGTTTAAATTTCTCTGGTCCAGGGTTCTTTAATCTACGGTAAAAAAGCATAATTATTTAAATATATTCCGTTTACTTAAAAAATATGAAATTGAATACTCTCTTTCATGCTTTTCATTAACATAAAAAGAAGTGAAAACTTACTTTCGGAGATTATTTGACGGTTCAGGTTTACAGCATTTACAGCTAAAATATAGAGAACAAGATGTAAAACTTCCATTCATATTTGTGTTAAATGAATCTACTTCTTTATCTGAATATTCACATGTGGACATTGATTTTGGAAAAAAAATATATATCCAATTTTAGGAATTTAAATGAATATTTTGAATATAAATATTTACTTTGGAGTTGAACATGAGCGTCCTAGGCAGCAGCGGTAAAATAAGTAAGCGAGAAGTGCTAACAGGAGCAATCCGAGAACACTTAAAATGGCTACCATTGCCACATTTTCCGGCTTACTCCACCAGTCCTGGTATGTGGAAGCGGCTGTCGTTGTGGATGTTGTTACAGATTCTCTGTAAACGATATCCACATAAGATGTCCCTGTCAATTGTGGCTTTCCATGATCCACAGCCACAACATGTACACGATGCGTCATACCATAGTCGAAATTAATATCACGAGTTAGATAAATCGAACCATCTTTCATTACTTTGAAATACTGGGACCCTGTTGCTGATGTTCCGTCGTATTCAACCTCAGCGTTTTCATTTTGGTCGATGTCATTGGCCACGACAGCTCCAATTCTAGTCCCAGCCTTTGTATATTGATTTATTCCCATAACGTAACCCGATGACGTAAAATCTGGTTCATTGTCGTTGACATCTTTAATGTACAAAGAAACTGTTGCGGTACCTGAAACAATTATACAGATTTACTAGACTGTTTAGTGCATCTCCCGTTAAAAAAATTATCGAAACACCCCAATACTTAATTTTCAAAATAACAAGTTCTCAATCTCATTACCTGTCTCGCCATGTTTATCTGTACATTTGACAACGATTGTGAGATTTTGTGGATGTGCTCTGTCAATGTCGTAATCCACAGCATACGTAATAACACCGGTTGATTTGCTTATGTTAAACAATTTGCTGTTTGTAGAAGCTACAAGACTGAACGTATGGCTATCCGGGTTATCTTTGTCCTCTACTAAGGCATGGAATCCTACATCAATATTGCCACCTCCGACCTGAGAGAAGATTATGCTATTAATTCTTTTTCATTTAAAGATGCTTAATTTTATATGTTTTTTAACTGTTAATCATACTTACACCAGCTTCATACGTATCATATCTGTACACGTTCTGTGGAAAATTGCAGACTTCCGGTTCATCCAGAACATGAATTGCAAGATAGTACGGCCCTGATGTGGCCATAGTGTCAGTAACGTAGAGAGCTAATCGATAATAATTCAGATCTTCATAATCAAAGGTTTCTCCAGTTGCAAGTGCAATGTTATCTGAAATATTAATAATTTTGAATGTTTATTAAAATTTGTTGATAATTTGATGATTTGAATCACTGAAAGATGCACTTAACAAAACAGCATACTTCCTGTAACTCTAAACTTATTGGTTTGTCCGGAAGGATAAACATTCATAGTGATAGTTTGTGTTTGTCCAGCATCGGGGTCATAAATTGTGGGTGTGTACAGTGTTACACCGGCTGCTGTTGTTAGTTCCGGAAAATAAAGGTTCGTCACTCCGTTTAAAATAAGACTGCTTATGGTTGGTTGCGTATTGATATCTAACAAGTGAAGAACATATACCACTAAGAAAAAGTCCCACAGTAACAAAATTCATTCTTACAGAGTTTTGCATCGGGCACAGCAGTGGGAATTCAGAGTGAGGTTATTTGATATTTTTAAGCCTCTTAAGAATAAGAAATAACTTACTTGTCAGAGTGATTGTGTACAGTGCGTGTGTAGACAGACGAGAATCTGAGGCTGTGACGTTGACAACAAAGTTAGGCGTCAGCTCATACTTGAGGTCCCTAGTGGCTGTTATTTCACCTGTTACTTGGTTAATAGTAAAGCTGTCCGTTTTTGGTGATATTTCCATGCTGTATAATATAGTATCTAAATCCAGATCAGTGGCAGTAACCGTAAACATGGAACCATATTTCAAAGTTGTCATTGCATTTGGAGACCCAGTAGCTGTTTAATAAGAAAATAAATCAAATTGCAAGAAAAAGTTGATATAACGTGTATTGTTAACGGATACTATAATTTTATTTAACTCATTGTGGGGTAATAGTTCTTTACCTGGAAGGTTTGTAAACGTTGGAGGTCTGTTTTCCAGGACATCGATTTGTAAAGTTTGGTTAGATGATCGACCTTTTGGTGAGTCAGTACACGTGATTGTCAGAGTGTAGCTAGGAACTGCTGAATAGTTCAACCCAGGTAGGTTATCCAAGTACACTGAGTATGCTAGAAATTCACGAACAATCAGTCATTATACAACATATAGTTAAATTTACGGTAATTGAAAATGTTTCCAGGATTTTGAAATACATACCTTGAGTAACAGCGTCTCGTCTCAAATCAAATGGCCCCCCTGTCGGTGTTGATGCTAAGACACATATTAACGCATCACCTTCGGGATCAGATACTGTTAAGTCGTGAAGTTTCCGTTCCACAATCTCTTTTTCCAAAACCTCAACTGTAACTGGCAATCCAGTAATAGCGGGAGGTTCGTTCTTTGTCACATCAACGTACAAAATAGCACTGCTAGATCCACCTGCACTGTCGGTGCAAGTGACAGTGACATCATGTGTAGGAGCAGTGACGGCGTCTAGAGTCGCTATTGCATTTGAAAGAAGACAAACCTGATATGCTGGAAAGAGGAAAAAAATCATTAAAATATATTTCATCGGTAGAAAGTGTACTCTGTTCTAGCAAAAAATAAAACGTTTCAAAAAATTGAGTACTTACACGGTGTAGCAGGGTTTTGAACCATTTCAAATGGACCTGCAGGAGATGAAGTGACTGCACACGTGATCGTGTCTGTTTCTGGATCAGTGACAGCCACGGTGTGTAAACAGCTCGCTGCAGTGGCAGTTTCAGAGACGGTCACAGTTGTTGGCATTCCAGTAATAACAGGAGCGGAGTTAGGTGTCACGTTTATGGTAAGATCTTTAGAAGTAGATCCCCAGTTGTCAGAACAAGTCACTGAGAGTGTGAAGGAGGATGTTCCACCAAAGGTTGGGCTGCTTACCAAATCAATTTTGTATGCTTTAGGAAAAGAAGATTACATTTTATTATCCATCATAATTTTCATCAAAAATTGTTAATGATTGTCCTTACTAAACATTATTTGTAAAAATAGAGATAAACTTACCTGCTCCAACCTTGTTCAGAGTAAATTGAGCACTTGCCGGTGTACTAGACATGGTGCACGTGTACGTATCAGTTTCTGTCACAGCAAGAGTATGCAGAGTGCGACCGCCTGCTTCCCCAGACGCCACGCTTGCTGTGGCTGGAAGATTTGTAATGTCCGGTGGCGTGTTCGACTGCACGTTTACTGTTAACACTCCAGTGGACGCTGTTCCATCAGTGCATTGTAAGGTAAGTCCATAAGATGACACTGTGTCGTGCTCCAGGGAATGCCCGCTATTTAGATGAACGTCATATTCTGTAAGAGAAGGGAAAAAAGAGATATAAATGAAAATTTTTTATATTTTCTTGGTTTAAAACTGCATTGTTGTTTGGTAAGTCTAATATTTTCGAGGGAAAATTGTGATCTCGGAACTAATTGTCGCATTCATCTAATTTAAATCACTGTAAAAGTACACAATGTTTTAATCAAAATAATGTCTAATTTAATGTGAACAAGAATACTTTGTGCGAGCTTTAGTATATGTAGACTGATAAATGCATCAATTTCTTATATTTTTTAATATACTTACGAGTCCCAGTTTTCACCATTGAAAAGAAAGTAGTAGCTGGTGATGATGATTGGATTGAACACGTGTACGGATCTGTGTCTGTGACGGTCAATGTGTATATACTACTTCCGCCGGCGTCACTCTCAGTAACGGACACAGCAGCCGGAAGTCCGGAGAAGACCGGTCCAGCATTTTGAATAACATTTACAGTTAAGGACTTTGCAGTGCTAGAACCATAGTTGTCAGAACAAGTTACAGGTATGGAATAGGAGGGTGTCGAAGTGTAATCTAGTCCAGGGGCAGCGTTCAGATATATCTTATATTCTGTGGAATCAAACACAAATTTCAGATAAGCTTGAATAAATTTGTCCATTCTTGTTATCTCAGAACAATTGTGCAAAGTTCAAAATGAAAATAAGATTAGAAGTTTTGTGTTTATTGGTGGTAGGTATTATTTTCAGAAAAATGACACACTTACGTGTCGTTACGTATTCTATACTAAAAGGCCCTGTAGTTGTCATTGAACACGTGTAAGAATCAGACTCAGCATCTGTTACAGTCAGAGCTACGAGTTCCGTTTTGGCTGTCTCGCCCTCGTTTACATTGACTGTTGTTGGCAGGTTTGTAATGACTGGGACTGCATTGGGGGATACAGTCACAGTCAGAGTGGACGAGGAGGCCTTGCTGTTGCTGTCCGTACATGTGACGGTAAGAGTGTAAGAGTTGACCACACCTGGGTCCAATCCGTGTCCAGCGTTGAGATTGATATCGTATTCTAAAAACAACTTGGATATCAAACCATTTGTAAAGACCATAAGGTATCTGATTTAGCCTTATTCTTGCAATATCACAAAAATAGCAACACTGGTTATAATGATAGATCATACATGTATATTTGTTGTAATTAATGTTGGTAATTTGTCAATAACACTAACGTGTGGTGTAAGTTAAGGAAAAAGCAGTTGTCGCTGGGGCACTAGACATGGCACAGCTAAAAGTATCACTCTCGGGATCGGAGACAGCTATAGTAAAAATACTAGATCCTCCAGCGTCACTTTCCTGTACAGTTTTAGTGGCGGGTAAATTCGTGATGTCAGGTGCACCGTTAGCTATGACGTTTACAGTCAATGTGCCCTGTGATGCGCCAAAGCTATCTGCGCACGTTATTGTAAGCGTGTAAGAGGCAGTAGTTCCTGCATTGAGACCGGGAGCACTATTCAAATGAATCGAATGTCCTGAAAATATTTTACAGGTGATTAAAGTAAAGTTTACATTGTATATTCTTTGATATATATATACATGCATATGCAGGTCAATTTTTTTTTTTTAAAAAGTGCTTTAAACGTATACATGAGTTTACAGGTTGATCAATTCACATTGTATTCAAACCCAAGAAATCTTTAAATAAAGGAAAGACAATTTTATTATTAGGCAAAAAAGCTGAGATACCATTTACTCTGAAAAATACTTCTTGCTCGAAAAGCAGAATCTTTACATTTTTTATGGCACGTACCTGGGGTGGATTGGTAATTGAATGGGGTTCCAGTCGGCGACAGAGAGCACGAGAAAGCATCATTCTCAACGTCGGAGACGGTAATATCGTAGATTTTCTTCGGCCCATTTTCGCCGTCATTAACCTGTACAGATGTTGGGAGTCCCGAAATCGTGGGCGGTGTGTTGGGTAGAATGTTGACGGTCAACGTTTGTGTCGTTGATGTTTCGGAATTGACGTCGGTGCATTGGAAGCCGATGGCATAAGATGAGGTTGTATCGTATTCAAATCCTGGGTTTGTCACCAAATACAATTTGTCTATTGAAATAATAACAAGCAAAAAGAAAACAATATACACACATTAGTTCTACTTAAAAAATACACATTTTTAAGAAAAAGTATTATTGATAAGGATTTCCATCAAATGCATGGCAAGGATGATGCAAAATAATTGTTTTTACTGAGTGGTAGTGATAAAAAATTTAAATATTTATCATTTTGATTTGACATCAACTTAAAAGATCCTGACAAAAGTAAATATATAGAGGATATTCAATGTTTTCTAAATGAATATGGAATTTATTTCACGAGTGGGACAGGATTTTTTTTATATTTTCACGAGTGCGAAACACGAGTGAAAATATCAAAAAATCCTGTCTCACGAGTGAAATAAATTCCATATTCATCTACAAAACATTAAATTTATGTTTATTACATTTTTTTTATTTTTCCTTTGACTTTGTCTTTTTGTAACACAGTGTCATAGACTGTGACGTCATAGTTGAGCGGTTGAGATGTCATAGCTAAGCGATTGCGAGATTGAAAAAACGTTGTAGACATGGATTTTAAAACAACATATTTGGAGAAACTTTGGCAGTTTTAGTCTCTGTCAGGATGGTTCATTTACTCGCTCTATCATATCAGGCCAGGGAGTTTTTAAAAAAAAAAAAAAAAAAAACACTCTTCGTGATGGGAAGGAAAATCGGGAGTTTTGTCGCACTTTTGATATTCTTTCACACTGTGCACGTGAGAATACCTTTTTATATCCTTTCACACTGTGTCAGAATATCACTTTTAGTCGATAAATAAATTACAGTATTTCACTATTTAAAATGTAATAAATAATTCTTCAGAAAATAAAGTAATCTGTAAGATCTTCATGATGATCTTACCTATAAAATATAAATACTCTTATTGGGTAATTTGTTGATTGATTGAACATGTACATGTATATTGTTTCACATCGAGTCAGCAGTATTTCAGCCATATTTCGGCCGTTTAATTTTAAGTTACTTTTTACTTAAAAATTTAAACGTTAGGAACATCCTATGAACGTTTTTTAAAACTATGTTTTAAAAGGTAAAGAATGTAAATCAGATGGCTTTACACTTTTAGAATCTAAATTACATTTTAAGTTGAATTCGTTACCCCAAAAAGTTGGTGAATTCTATACTTTCTCATCTGTTATTTATTCTGAACATATTTCAGAGGCAATTATCTACAATAATTTAAGAAGTGGTGTTTGTAAAATCTTGATCAACCATAAAATTAAGTCATTAAATAAAGATATCACAAAACAGAGTAGGGTTTATTTTGTTATCTATAAAAAGGTGCTTTCCAATCTAATCATGTGCAAGACATTGTATAATTAAAATGTATTCCTTGAATTTAAAACTCTATGAAGTTCAATTAATCTTCCACAACGTATCATGTCTTAATTAAATGTCACTTATAATTGACAATTTTAAACTTAAGTTCAAAATTTAACATATGAACTTTCATGTTAGGTTTATCATCTACCGTATATATATATATATATATATATATATATATATATATATATATATATATATATATATATATATATATATATATATATATATATATATATATATTTACATTTCCAATGTCTTTGTCCGAGATAAAATTACAAATTGTAAAAATACTTTATTTCTACATAAATCTACTGGTTCATCGATAGGCGCGGTTAAAAAAAATCACGTGCGGGGCGGGACAAATAGAGACAGAAGCGGGGCTATTAGCACGGGAATTTGCAGAATCAGGAGCATGTAAATATAAGGAATAACTGTCTTATTTTTTGGATTCATGACGATGATCAATCGATTGGCTTGCGTGATAATTTTATGCATAAACGCCTTCGGCGTTTATGCAAATTATCACGCAAGCCACTCGATTGATCACATCATGAATCCAAAAAATAAGACAGTTATTCCTTATATATATATATATATATATATATATATATATATATATATATATATATATATATATATATATATATATATATATATATATATATATATATATATATTTGATACTTAAAACTCTAAAAAAAAATTTATTAAAGGTAACTTTAGATATAGCTTTCATAATATTTTGAAATTTACTTGCGGTAACTTGGAACCCAGTGACAGCTGGGGTTATAACACAGTTGAAAGAGTCCCCTTCTGGGTCTGTAACATTGAGAGTGTATAGGGAGGTAGTCGTGCTCCCTGTGGCGCTTTCTATCAGGTTTATGGAGGAAGGGAGACCAGTGATATCAGGGGGCTGCAACAAAAATGTTTTTAAAGAATCACTAGATAAAAAAGGAAGAAGAACTGTTAATCTGTGAAATGTATTTCCTTTAAAATTAATAGTATTTAATTTTAGAAAACACTAATGTTTCGTGATTTTTTTATGTTTTTTTTTTATTTTATTTACAGCATGTATTTACTTATTTTTTAATTGTGAAAATTAGAAATATGATGAGGGTAATGAAAAATGTCTATTTAATTGTTTGAGAACAAAATGGAACCTCGTTTTATCGAAAATATAAAAAAAAAAACTGTAAATAAACATATATAAAAGTTGGATGGGGGAGTTGATCATTTTGTATATTGCGAATTGAAAAATGTGATGATTTAGAAAATTAGATTCGATCACTTTCACTTAATGAAAAGTTAAAAGTTATATGTATGAATGTAAATACCAGATTTATTGATTTATTTTTCTGTCATAAGCGGAAATCTTTAAATAAACAAAATAAATTTGAATTTGTTTTTCATTTATATAAAAATATATATTTAAGATAGATTAAAAAGTAATTTTTTTTAAATAGGGGAAAAACTATCGAAGTACTCACCAATGATTCAACGTATGGAAAAACAAGGAGAAGACCGACGATTATTTGAATAACAACCATCCACATCATCGACACTGTGTGTACTTTTAAAGCCTCAGTTTCAAGAAAGCATGTTCTTAATTGGGATAATTTTTTAAATGATTTCACTTTCTTAATTATAGCTCTCACTAGATTTCTTATAGATATGTTTCGATCCTTCCTATATGTGTTTCATCGATTGCTTGAGTAAACAAGTCTGATTTAAATTTCAAACATTCTTTTCAAATTTTATTGCTTTCAAATATTATGATGTATTTTAAATGCCCCTGAAGGCGACAGATCTAACTCAAAATTGTCAAAATGCAGGTAGCAAAGGCAATAATCGATGTTTTCAATCACTTCATTGAATTTTATTTATTCTTTAAAAATAAATAAAATTTATTGCATCTTTTGATGACGTACTGTATTGAGGTAAATATAATTAGACGACCACAGGGTGCTTTTGTATAGTCTTGCCTATACCGTTCATCCTTAATAGAGGCCTATTCAATATGCTAAAGCATTAAATAATTGTTAATTTATGAAGAACGCATGAATGAACCTGATATAGAAATTTTAGCCAACCCAGCAAAATGATTGACAGTAAGGATTACATGTTTTTACTGCATAGCGTACGTGGTATTATTGACAAATGACTCAAAAGTTCAGATGTACGCAGGATCAATTAACTCAACTGACCGACATTATGAAGTCATCAAATAAAAGATATTATATCACATACATGTACATTCTATACAGCAAGAAATAAAAAAAAAGAAGAAAAAAAGCATACAAAACTGTACTGTTATAAATATATTTTACTAAAACATATACATACAACGACACTTCGATTTACTATAATGGTACCTCGATTTACTATGACACTTTGATTTACCAAGACACTTTGACTTACTATGACACTTTGATTTACTATGACACTTCGATTTTCTATGGCCTTAGATTTATAATTATTGATTGATTGATTGTATGTTGTTTTACGTCCCATTCGAGAATTTTTCACTCATATAGAGACGTCACCATATACCGGTGAAGGGCTTCAAATTTTGACCTTTACTCGGCACTCAGGGCCATTGAGCAGTGAGGGATCTTTATCGTGCCAGCGCCTGCCGTGACACGGGGCCTCGGTTTTTAAGGTCTCATCCGAAAGACCCGCAACTTTCACTTCAAATTGCCGAGCGCATGGCGAAGGAACAGTTGCTACCCATTTTATCGACTTGGGTCTGTCGCGGCCGAGATTCGAACTCACGACCTCCCGATCACGGAGCGAGCGCTCTACCGACTGAGCTACCGTGAACGGTCGATTTATAATTATTATGACACTTTACTACAACAATTTGATTTACAATGACACTTTGATTTACTACGACCCTTTGATTTACTTTGACACTTTGATTTTCTATGATACTTTGATTTACTATGATACTTTGATTTACTATGATACTTTGATTTACTTTGACACTTTGATTTACTATGATACTTTGATTTACTATGACACTTTGATTTATTTTGACACTTTGATTTATTTTGACACTTTGATTTACTTTGACACTTTGATTTTCTATGATGCTTTGATTTATTTTGACACTTTGATTTACTTTGACACTTTGATTTACTATGATACTTTGATTTACTTTGACACTTTGATTTACTTTGACACTTTGATTTACTATGATACTTTGATTTACTATGATACTTTGGTATTCTATTATACTTTCATTTTCCATGACACTTTTACTTCCTATGATATTCTGATTAACTATGTATGATACGTTGATTTTGTATGATACTTTGATCGTCTATGATACTCTGATCTTCTATTTTACTTTGTACATGTATAATACTATGATTTTCTATTTCACTCTCTATGATACTTTGATTTACTATGATACTTTGATTTACTATGATACTTTGACACATTGATTTACTTTGACACTTTGATTTACTATGACACTTTGATTTACTATGATACTTTGATTTACTTTGACACTTTGATTTACTTTGACACTTTGATTTACTAAGATACTTTGATTTACTATGATACTTTTATTTACTTTGACACTTTGATTTACTATGATACTTTGATTTACTATGATACTTTGATTTACTTCGACACTTTGATTTACTTTGACACTTTGATTTACTATGATACTTTGATTTACTTTGACACTTTGATTTACTTTGACACTTTGATTTACTATGACACTTTAATTTACTATGATACATTGATTTACTTTGACACTTTGATTTACTTTGACACTTTGATTTACTATGATACTTTGATTTACTTTGACACTTTGATTTACTTTAACACTTTGATTTACTATGATACTTTGATTTACTTTGACACTTTGATTTACTTTGACACTTTGATTTACTATGCCAGTTCAATTTATTATGACACTATGGCATTTTGATATTTATATTAACTTTGACACTTTGATTTTCTACGACACTTTGACTTACAACGATACCTTGATTTATTATGTGTTAATTCTGTAATAATTTTGAAGATAAAGAGTTATAACATGTGTGAATGATGATACTTTTTGAAATAATATTTGAAAAATAGAAGTAATTTTGCCTTTTCATATTAAAAAAGCACATTAAAAACTTTAAAAAAAAGTTTTGTAAGCTTATTTCTATTTTGAATATTCTATGTAATAAACGTATTTCGTCTTAAAAGAAACAACATATAAAAAAACGTGCACACAATGTAATTTTTTACATGCTGAGATATTTTTATTTTCATTCTATAGTGTGGATACTTTGACGTCGGACAGTGATGTAGCTATCCTGTATATCTGACCTTCCACATGTTCCACAAGAGAGAGACTCCAAACAAGATAATATAACAAGAGAATAAGATTCTGGTTACACTCACTAAACAATTAAAAAAAACAATTGGCCAAAAGTTCTATATTCAGACCTTTTAATAATGATCTCTCTCTCTCTCTCTCTCTCTCTCTCTCTCTCTGGGTCGTCCCCTCGATCAAAACTTGGTCAAGTGTGATTGACAATTCAATTGTGAGAAATTCTTTCAACAACATTTTTTGATAACTTACTGAGATATTTAGGTTATACAATGACAAATCACTCATACTTAATGGATGTCCTTTGCTTCTGGCTGAAGGTCGTTTCTTCGTACTTCCATAAGTACGGTCTTCTGTACTTGGAGCAGTGGTTTGCTGATTGTATATTTGTTATCTTCATTGTTTGATTTACTCACATTGAGATGATATTTTTTTTATTATTATTTACGGGTGTTAAGATGGTGATAAACCTCCTGGTTTGCGATCATTTTTTTTTCGGTCAGTTCTAATTCTCGGACAGGCGTCTTAAGTTTGTGTTGGCACCAATAATTAAAAAAAAACATTCTGCATGAACACATGGGTACAATACTTCACAGCACGTTTAAACAGTTTTTACTTTATATGAATTTCCCTGAAAAAGCTTTAATTCATATTTGCAGCAAACAATTATACAATGAAATAAAATGTAATTTTTTGTTTCAAGGCATATACTTCACCACCCCCTACCTTATTTAGATATTTTGGAAAGTGTATATACAACTATACAAATGAATCATATAAAAAGTAATTATCCTCATTGTTCAAGAACTGGTTCTGTACCGTGATATATGTGGTCCACTGGAAATTATCATGAAAATTAATCAGGCATTTCCCTTGTAAACATGCTTAATAGGCACAATATTAACCAGGAATCTTGCAAAATACGTATATATATATTTTTTAATTTCTGGTTTTGAACATTTTTGTTCATACTGAAAGTGGGAAAAAGTGATCGCCAGCCAATATAGATTTAAAATATTTCTGTTTTTTGTGTTGTTTTGATGATGAATTTTGGTTTTTTCATATAAATGCCTTGGAACGCATGGGAATTCATAAATAAGCGGCTTTATCTTTCAAGTGACTTCAAAGTATGGGGAAAAATTCAAAACCCTTAAAACTAGACAGTAATTTCTTAAGTTCATATACTTTAACATGCGTACTGAATTTAACAATAAAATTATTCCATTGCCATATAAATTGCAATGAATCAGAGTATGGCATGTCAAACGTTGCAATATTCGATCTTTTCCATTTGTATTGTATAATTTTCCATTTGTAATATATAATTTTTGTTTGTATTCTATAATTCTTAAATGGAATACAAATAAAAATTATGCAATACAAATGGAAAGTTATACAATACAAATGAAAAAGATCGAATATTGCAACGTTTGACATGCCGTATCAGAGAATCTCGATAGCTTTATTTAAAAAAAAACACGTACTTTTCTTGTGTATTTCCAATTACCGAAATAAATTCTCAAGTTTGGACAGATAAATAAGACAAATATTGATGATATAGTTACACGAGCCCAACTTTCCTTGATTCCTGTTATTTTACTGTCTACTGGACACAGTTTCCGCCTGCTCATGAAATACAACGTTAGACACAGTTAAAATCAAATATTAGCACTTGTACTTACATGCATGGATAGAGTCATCAAAGAAGATTATACAAGAACATTATTTGTCAAAAAGTACTATTATTCATGGAATACATTTTATATAATGTGTTTTGTTCGACAGTAATTGGCAACTTTTCTCTATATTTATCATCTGACCCCATGACCTGGGAAAATATTATATTTACTAAGAAAATATTTATCTCTTGAAGATCAAAGTCAACTTATACTTAATTATATTTGTTATATAGCTGAAGTATTCCATAAGAGGCATTGTAGTAGGCAGAAAGAGTCTTAAAGTTTTCATTTAATGCAGAAAAGGTCTAAATGTTTAGAACTTTGATTAGCAAAAGGAATTTCCACGAGGTTGTTAAATTGATATTCAAAGAAAAAAAATACCTCACATGAGTGATAGACTTTGATTTCGATCATGTTTGACTAAGCTCATAAATACACGTGCTTTAGAAGCATTTTGTAAGATGTAAACAGAGCAATCTAGGAGAACATTTCTTCTAGAGCTGTACAATTGAGCGATGGCACTGATTACAAAAACATT